TTCTTCACTTTTAGGTCAATATTTCTAAACAACTCTGTTAGTATACGAAAAAACCGCGATTTTCCTAACGTCTTACTGTAAAATACTGGCAAACTGAATGTTTTATGCAAACAAATTAAGAGATCGATTTTATAAGAAAACTCGTCGACTTTCTTTTGACTCAGTTCTATTGCAGCGAAAATCTAGATTACTTTTTTTAGTTGTTTGAACAAAGTAGTAAAACGTTACTGAGAAAAAATGTTGACGACCTTTTTTTTAGATGTAAAAATTCCAGTCTCGCGTCTCGTAAAGCTTTAGTAAATTACTTATAACTCAATAGCGCAACTCAACACAGTGTTACACAGGCTTAATATGTAGGACAAGTTTCGATTTTGAGTGATCAAAATGGCGATTTTTGAGAATTTTTTTGATTTTTGACTTTCTTTCGTAGGCCTAAGTTTGGCACTCATTTCCTCAGAAACCAGTAGAGCACTAGAATCATTTTCAGATCTGTTTTGGAGTGCAAAGTGCGTTCTGTATGTGGGAAAAGTTTCGATTTGGGGTCATCCTCAGGCGATTTTTGAGAAATTTACGTTAGTAAACGTATGGTATTTACTTTTCCCATAATTAGGAAAGTTGGATGTTCAGCTTTGTATAAAATTCGTAGGGCAGTGTGTGTTCGATAAGTAGGAAATGTTAGATTTTGACTCATCCTCGGGGAATTTTCAGGCCTTTTTTTAGAATTTCCTTTGCATTTTGCGCTTGTTTATGCAAGCCGGAGTTTCACAGCTTTTTCCAAAAAATCTAGTGAAGTTAAGCATTGACTTTTTGAGGAATTCTCTAGGGCATAGTCCGTTTTGCTAGTGCGGAAAGTTTCGATTTTAAGTCATAATTAGGCTAATTTCAAGATATTTTTCAATATCCCATAGAATTTTGTGAGGCACAGCGCGTTCTATTTCAATCTTTCGAATAGTGCGAAGCCTTAAGCCACAACAGTGCAAATACAAATGCAGCAACAGGAAACATGCATTGCTTTATACCTGCCGATATGTGTCTTCAATTGTAGGTATGTAGCTCTCCCTAAAGGTGCCCTTAACAAAGCGAAGGACTAGAGAACTCTTGCCCACACCTCCAGCCCCAAAAACGACCACCCGGTAGTCGTTGCTCTGCTCGGGCATGGCCAGAATCCTGGATTTTGTTTGCAGATCCAGAGGTTATATTATGCGGCCTCGATTGAGGCTCCAAACAGGCTGTTCTGATTACTGTCCATTCCCCTAGACATTATGGAGTTGTGGGCCCCATTGCCGGAATCAACCAAAGATAAATACCTAAATTTCGTACTAAAGCTAGATTGAGTTGGTTCTAAATACAAAAACTATCATTTTATTGATTGGTCGCTTTGTGACAGTGCGTGTCAGTGGGTGGCAGTTTTCCTGCCCACCCAGATCCAGACTACAGGGGCGGCAACTTTGGAAAGATCCAGAGTTTCCCAACAATCATTAAGCACGATTCCTAGCCGAAAATAGTGTCCACCAGTCCAATGAAGCTTTCAGGCGTAAAATAAGCGCATTCCAACAGTGACAAACACTTCTGACATCGATCCAGTCTGGAGATTGTTTGGTTAGGTTTCTGGATAATTGCCCAAATGAGTGTGTGCATGCTGTATTGGAGTGGGATTTTACGCAGTTGAAACCCATAAAACTTCCTCATTTGTTTTATGATCCAGATTAGACCAGATTACTGAAAATATTTTCTAATTCCTAGATGGAATGTTTTCTTATGTTGGCCATTCTGGCCGACGAACAGCTGATACCCGTCAGCTGATTACCGTCATTTCTTTGTTTTGTATTGTTGAGGCTTCTAAATAGTAAATACGACGTTTCCCTTGGAATTTGTATTCAGGTTTTCGCTGGAAAGATGGCTGATATTAAATCGCTGGAGCATCCCACTGTGAAGGTAAGTATTTAGTAAGTCAGGTATCAATTAGGTAAGAAAGGTCAATATTGGATGGTAAAGGCGACAACAAAGAAATCTGGAGGACTGGAAGATGTTTCTTTATATGTTTTTTTTTATTTATTTATCTAGAATTCGCAGAAGGGCAAGGGGCAGATGGAAGGAGAATATGTAGAATATCAAGAATCTAATTGCTAGTTGAGATTTTTTATAGCGTATAGTGTGGAAGAACATGCTGAAAGAAGCCACTACAGGGGGCGAGAAGCATGTTAAAAATTCAAAGAAAAAGCCTCATTCGCCCACCAATCTTCTAGCTTTGTATTTAAACTGTGTTTTATTTGGATCCCCTTTCCTAAGGCAGCTTTAGTGTGCTTTATAAAGTTTTCCATTTAAACTTAATTTTCAAGCGTTTTCAATCTTTTTGGGCAGCAGGTATATTGAGAAATCGTGTCTAAAAATATATATTTGTAGCAAAACTGCACGAACAGCATATGACACACTCTGTATTACTGGAATAGAGATGTTTATTAGATCAAAACGTGTCGGTTTCATTTACTTTTCACCTGCAAAAAAATTGTTCGTGATATTACCCGACCTAAAGCTTGTTATTATTTGAATACAAAGCAGATAAGCTAGGTTTATTTGGCAGCAACAATCTTTAACGAAAAAAATATCAACAAATTACGATTGTTTGGCTCTAGTATATCGCAAGCTCAACTCTTTAACTGCTAGATTAGCTAAAGATCATTAAACACCCGTTTAAGCGCAAGCAGCACATGCATTTGAAACATTTGGATGAGGAAAGAATCTGCGATACTAAAAGTGGTGTTTTTTGTTTACTATCAGGTTCCCTACGAAATTTTGAACAAAAAATTTCGAACAGCTCAGAAAACCCTTGATAGAGAAGTGTCGCACGTTCAACAAGGAGTGAACGAGCTGGAAAAGTGCCTGCAGGAAGAAGACGTGAAAGCAATCGAAATATCCAATCTATTAGGTAAAGCTGCACCAATTGCCCCAATTTCTCTGTTCAAAAGCGGTTAATTTTCTGGCTCCAGGCGGGATGGTGGACAAGCTTCAAGTGCTGAAGCGCAAAGCCGAGGAAAGCATCTCGGAAGAACTGACGGCTACCAATGTGTGCAAGCGTCGCCTGGACCATTTGAAAGAACACGCCACTATCGTGGGAAGCAGCTCCGTTTCCGCAGGTATCCCTCCACTGTTCGATCCAGAATTTCTGGATTGTATTCGATAAGTTCCAGGCACTTTAAACAATTGGCGCAGGAAGCGATTGGATCGCATGGTTGTGGAGTACTTCTTGCGAAATGGCTATTACAACTCCGCGATCATGCTGGCTGAGCGAAGCGACATCAAGGATTTCACCAATATTGGTAAATTGCCCTTATTCAACCACCAAAGCTGTAGGGAAATTATTAACTTTTCGCAGACATATTTTTGAATTCGCGTGAAGTCGAGCGATCTCTATCGAACCACGAGACCCAGAAATGCTTGCTTTGGTGCCACGACAATAAGTCCAAACTGAGAAAGCTGAAATCGTCCATGGAATTCAATTTGCGAATCCAGGAGTTTATCGAACTGATCAGGAAAGATCGGCGTATCGATGCCATCAAGCACAGCCGCAAACATTTTCCTACCTTTGAGGAGGAACATCTTCCAATAATACAGGTAAAATTTGTTTAGCTTATGGCCCCGGTCAATATGTTATATGAGTAAAATCTAGATGATCAGGTCCTGGAGTCGCGGTTAACAATCTGCTCATCTTATAGAAAAGCCTTTCACCAACAATTTGTCTTAGTTTTGTGCGCAAATGTGCCACCACATTCCACTCCTCCAATCAAATTCACTACTTTTCCACAAGATCGAAAAGACTGCCATCAGTTTCCATTCATGCAATATGTACTTTTACTACTAAACTCATTTAGAACTTATCTACAGTTTGAAACTAATTTTTTCTTTGTTTGTGTTTTAGAGGGCGATGGCTTTGTTAGCATTTCCCGTACACGTGGAAATAGAACCGTATGCGTCTCTATTTGATTTATGTAGATGGAGATCGCTGATTGAGCAGTTTCGCCAGGAGAATTACAAACTATTCCAGTTGTCTTCCCAGTCAGTTTTTACGGTGACGCTGCAAGCAGGCTTGTCCGCACTGAAAACTCAATATCCTTTTAAAAAGTCTGTTTAGTCGAAGATGTTTTTGCATTTATATGTTTTTCCTTAACGTGAGCTTACTCAGTGTTGCTCGGAAAGTAGCGAGAACAAAAACCCACTTTGTCCCGTATGTAATGAAGATTTGAACAAACTGGCGGAAAATCTCCCGTTCTCTCACTGCTCCCAGTCGAGACTCTATTGCCATATTACCGGGTTGCCGTTGAATGAGAACAACCAGCCGATGATGTTGCCTAATGGGTATATTTATGGAGAACAAGTAAGACCAGATTGATTCGATTGATTTCGTTTAATTAGTTCGTTTCAGGCACTCGCTCACATGGCAAAAGAAAACGATGGTCACGTCATTTGCCCCAAGACCAAAGAGCTGTTTTCATACAAAACGGTGGAGAAAGTCTTTATAATGTAATACTGCTCTTGTGATATATTGACAATTTATCTTAGCTGTTAAATGCTCGTAGAAACTAATTTTTGTGGCCACTATTGTATATCAGTTGATTTAAGTTAAGAATAATCCTTCCTGTAAAATATGGAAAATTAAAGGTATGACTTGAAGTAGCTTCAGGTTCCTTCGGTCTGGGTAACCCGACATTCCTTTGGTATTCAAAAGTTCCTTTCATGTGGCCCTACGGGAACTTTCTACGGCTGTTTCATCTCCGTGTCTGACTCTTCATCAGACTGATTGCTGCTGGACGATTCATTGGGGAACTGGTCTAAAGTTTCATTTCGCTTTTTCTCGTATTCTTCACTTAGTTCGAGCCAGGGGTCTTCTAAACATGACGGATCGAAGAACACAGACCCATCTGTGTGCTGCGTCCTGCTTGAATTCGGGTCCCTTTTGAAGCTGAAATTCCTGCTGCAGTTCCCTCGTTCCTGTGAAAATGAAAAAAGTTTCACAAAAAATAACAAGCTGTATCTTTTTGTAATTTCCATAAGGTTGAACGGCAATGGGCCGCAAAAAATCAATGCAAATTCAACAATCAACATTTGTAAGTTTCTCACTTCTCTAGATAAGCCATTGCTGATAAAACTGAAAGAAAGAGAGTTCTTGTAATGTTTCCAAAAATTGTTAAATAAGTGCGATATTTTCATTTTCACCCATTTCCAACATGAATCAGACCTAGAAAATTTGTGCAATTTTCGAGCCCCAATTGGGGGGACAAACCTGGTTCGATTTCAACGAAAAACTGGTCGAATTTAGTCTGGGGGCGAGCCATAAATGTGTGCGAAGCTCGATATCTTTAACTCAGAAAAATTATAAAATTTCATGGTTCGACTGGAACAGCAAAAAAAACGAAGCCAATTACAATGCATGCTGAAAAGTACCTAATAACAGTTCGATATAGAATAACAATTAACACAGGGGGCATTAAGCCAGATAATAACGACTTACAAATCGTTCAAGTAAGGCACAGAGGCAACCACTATATAAAAAAACGCCATTTTCAGCAGCTTTGCTGTCGTTAAGACTCCCTTAAAGGTTTCCAGATACATTTTTGCTTCTGAACTTATAGCAGACTTTCTCCCTATATTTGATAAGCAAACTTGCCTCGAAACTATTAGGTGAGTGCCTGGTCAGCCCTGAGTTTTTCCTCCATGAGCCCCTTTGTCCTCTTTCATAAACTGGAGAATAGAAGGGCGGCCTGGGGGATCTGTAGTTGGTTTTGTGGGGCGACGGCCGGGGGCTGCTGCAGTTGTGGGGCGAAAAGTTCAGGAACATGCGCTTGCCATGTGGAGACTCCTCATTCGTGGTACTGCTTTCGAAACTGACAAAGTCTGATGTTTCCATAGAAGCCCCACTAGCACTAGATTGAGAGTTTTCAGGGTTGAAGTAGACAAAGCCGACCGGAGGCCTGTTGGGGTTGTTTTTCCAAGAACGACTCATGACAGATTTGGTAAGCAAGAAACTTTAAAGAGAGGAATTTTAGCTTTGCATAACCACAGATCGCAGAGGTTAACTCCTAACCATTAAATTCTTCTTTTTCTTCTCTATAACTCTGAAGAATACGCCAGTAAAAACTAAGGTTTAAACGACAGGCCATGTGACTGTTGTTTAGAAACTTGATCTCGAGTTTTTAAAGGTAAAATATGGAAAAAGGGCAATTTAATCACTCCGTTAAGGTGCCGAAGTTGTACAAATGTGCGGCAAAAATCATCGAGAAGGTCACTGAGGGTGCTGGCAGCATTAAGCAGTTAGTTTATGAGAAAACCCACTTTGTAAGTTCAGCCCCATTTCAAACAAGTTTTCCCCAAAACCGCTTGAAAGCAGACAATCTAAACCAATTCACTGCCTGAAGATAATCGGCAGCACTTCCATTTATATCGTTTTTTTTTATTTTTAGAACACCAAAGCTCTATTTGCCTTAGTAATGACTACCTTTCAGAAGACCAATGAAATCAATCTTTTATTGAAAAGAACCCAGTTGTTAGATAAAGAACCCCGTTTAGATCCGTGCTTAGCAAAAATCCTGATTAGCGAACTGGTCTGGGGTAAAAAACAGTTGCCCCGAAGCGACGCAAAACCCATTTTAACCATACTAGCGTATGAGCAGGCCTTTCATGCACACCTCAGCGACTCTTCTGGCGAATTTTCTTCAGGTAACTCACTTATTATTACTATTGCAGCTTCTCTAAATAATGGACGGTGAAAGTGAACTGACTCAAAGGCATCCTGCCAGTGAGGAGGTTTCTCCAAGCGCTCCTTTGGAGCAGCAGGAGGATTGGTTGCCATCCCAAACCCGTCAGGCAGCCAGAGCGGTAGCTCTCCTGCTTTTCTTCAGTTTCCTGATGTTTACTGTACCATTTTTGGTATTTTATGGCACGAAACATGTTGCACTGGAATACTGGCATTTGGATACTTTCCAAAGCAATGCCATATCAGTATTTACAGCCGTTCTAAGCGTTAATGTTATAATAGGAATATATGCCTACATAGCGTATAAAGAACCTGACTATGATAGTGAAGGGAATATTGTACTTGAAACCCCAGCAGAGCCCAAAGAACAGTTGGATCTTAAGGAAGACTGATCGAAGCATTCCAGTATTTGTATTAATTAAATGTAGCTTCCATTCCCTTGCTCTTAAGAATTTGAGTGTACCTAGTCTGTAAAAATTGCCTCTAGATGTAGAAAATACACACTGTTTACTCTCAAACCCTTTCAGTTAATTCAACTCCTAGTTTCCTAATTGATTAGTTGGCAATAGAGCCTTTTTAGTGTGTTTAGTGTGTAGCTCTTTTTTAATCAATTGGCTTTGTTCCTGCTACAGTTCTAAAGCCATAAAAAGCGATTTCATTCTAATATACACGCGTTTCTATTGCATGAATTTCAGAGTCAAAATCTTTCTTCAGAAAACCGCGTTATATTCGCATAAACACGTTAAAAACATCAGTGAACGAAGCATTGGAGCTGTTTCAAGATGAAGGTTGGATTCTACTTCCCAAACCTGAAAACTGCAGCTACTCAACCTATTTGCAGCAAGTTTCCAGCCTGGAAGACGGGTACTTCCTTAGAGACTATCACGTTCCCGATATGTTGGTATTCCCAACTGGCACAGAGTTTCACAATCATCCTGGATACAAAAAGGGCGTAATTCTGCTGCAGGATAAAGTATGGATAAATGATTGGCTTCAATAAGATTTCCAGTTAAGCGAGGCATTTCTTTCTTTTAGGCCAGTTGCTTGCCCGTGCTGGCATTGTCGCCCCAGCCTGGAAGTGTTTGTTTGGACATGTGCGCCGCTCCAGGCATGAAAACTACTCAAATTGCCAGTTTAATGGAAAACTCCGGCACCATATTTGCCGTAGAAAGAAGCGCGAAGAGATTCGAAGTCTTGCAGAGAATGATCGACTCTTCTGGTATAGAAAAACCCGTTCGATTTGAAAAATGCTTCGATTTTAACATTTTCTGTTTTGCAGGAGCTACATGTGTAACGCTAGCGAACAAAGACGTCCTGCATTGCAGCGACACCGACTTTCCCAAAGTTGATTACATACTAGTAGACCCAAGTTGTTCTGGATCTGGTTAGTTGGCTGCTTCATCTCAACGTGCATCAAAATAACGATTTTTTAAATGTAATTTCAGGCATGACAAACCGTCTGGAGGTCTGCACAGAACCTATGAATAATCCCGATAGACTGCAGCAGTTGGCAGGCTTTCAAATAATGATTTTGCGTTCCGCTCTTACACGCTACCCCAATGCCAAGCGCGTTGTCTATTCAACGTGCTCTTTGAATCCCGAAGAAAATGAAGACGTGGTTAGACAAGTCTTGGAGACTAATAATCAGTACAAACTTCTACCTGCCGGCGATTTCTTGCAAAACAACTGGACTAACTTTGGGTCGAGCAGCTTCGGAAAAATCGGCCAATACTGCCTGTATGCGCGCCCGGAAGACGATTTGACCAACGGATTTTTTTTGGCCGTCTTCCAACGCCTGGCCGAAGACGAGGAGAATGAGTTTTACAACAACAGGGCGTCGCGGTATATTACGAACATGCAAAAAAATAAAACGAGGCGAGAGAATCGGAATCTTCAGTCGGCAGATTCAACGGGATTTCCGAGGAAAATGGATTCTAATCAAGAGCGCGTGGAGCCGAAGGATAAGTTGGATAATTGGCGATATGATTATGAGCAAGGAACAGCCGATGAGTGGAGGGAGAGTGAAGAATCAGGAAGAGGTCCAGGCACAAAAAGCGCCCGAGTTGATGTGCAATTGAGGCTGATTAATGGACGATTTGACAAGGGAAAAGCGGACAATGGTAGGTCGAGAACTGACGAATTGTGTACAAATGAAGAAGACGAACCGTTTGAGGTGAAAGTGAAGGTCGAGGAATTTGCCAGTGGAGAAAGGGTGCAGAAGAGCGAAGATACAGCAAACAGCGCGGAAAGGCAAGCCATGAAAAATCGTGCGGAAATTAAAGCAATAGTTGAGGAATTTGTCAGAGAAGAAAGCACAAAATCTAAGCGGAAGAAGGACAAAGACCAAGAAAACTGCGAGGCTGATGAACACAGAAAAGCTAAACGGCACAAGAGTGAAGATTCAATCGAAGGTAAAGAAGCAAGTGGAAAAGTTGACTGCAAAACGAGCAAATTAGTTGATGTGGAAATCATGGAAGCAGATGAGGAAATTGCCAATGACCAAAGGAAGAAGGGTGAAGAATCATTTGAAGATTACGAGTTGGAAGGAGGCACCGAAAAAAAGAAAAAATCCAAACGACACAAGAGCGAAGAACCAAGCGAATATAATGAAGAGGGTGGAAATGTTGAGCGCAAAAAGAGCAAATCTAATGATCTGGATGCGCAGATAGCAGATGAGGAACTTGGGAGCAAGAAAAAGAAGAAATCCAAGCGGACGAAGAAGGAACAATCGAATGAAACTAGGGAAGACAGTGAGAACTGTAAAGGCGAAAAAGATGTTGAAATTATAACAGTAGAAGAAGAAAGTCCCAGCAAAAAAAAGAAGAAATCCAAGCGGACGAAGAGGGAAGAGTCAAGTGAAACTAGGGAAGACAGTGAGACCTTTAAAGGCGAAAAAGATGCTGAAATTATAACAGTAGAAGAAGAAAGTCCCAGCAAAAAAACGAAGAAATCCAAGCGGACGAAGAGGGAAGAGTCAAGTGAAAGTAGGGAAGACAGTGAGACCTTTAAAGGCGAAAAAGATGCTGAAATTATAACAGTAGAAGAAGAAAGTCCCAGCGAAACAAAAAAGCAATCTAAGCGGACGAAGAAGGAAGAATCAAGTGAAAGTAGGGAAGACAGTGAGAAGTTTAAAGGAAAAAAAGATGTTGAAATTATAGTAGTAGACGAAGAAGGTCCCAGCGAAAAAAAGAAGAAATCCAAGCGGACGAAGAGGGACGAATCAAGTGAAACTAGGGAACACAGTGAGAGCTTTAAAGGAAAAAAAGATGTTGAAATTATAATAGTAGACGAAGAAAGTCGCAGTGAAAAAAAGAATAAATCCAAGCGGACAAAGAAGGAAGAATCAAGTGAAACTCGGGAAGACAGTGAGAACTTTAAAAGCATAAAAGATGTTGAAATTATAATAGCAGAAGATGAAACTCCCAGCGAAAAAAAGAAGAAATCCAAGCGGACGAAGAAGGAAGAATCAAGTGAAAGCTGGGAAGACAGTGAGAACTTTAAAGGCGAAAAAGCTGTTGAAATTATAACAGTAGAAGAAGAAAGTTTCACTGAAAAAAAGAAGAAATCCAAGCGGACGAAGAGGGAAGAGTCAAGTGAAACTCGGGAAGACAGTGAGAACTTTAAAGGCATAAAAGATGTTGAAATTATAATAGCAGAAGATGAAACTCCCAGCGAAAAAAAGAAGAAATCCAAGCGGACGAAGAAGGAAGAATCAAGTGAAAGTTGGAAAGACTGTGAGAACTTTAAAGACGGAAAAGTTGTTGAAATTATAACAGTAGAAGAAGAAAGTCCCAGCGAAAAAAAGAAGAAATCCAAGCGAAGTAAGAGCGAAGAATTACCGGTTGCAGAAATGATTACACCAAATGGAGAAAATAAGAAGCGAAAGAAGGAAAGAAACTGATGTATTTTTGTTAATAAATTTTCAGTTTATTTTATTTAAATAGTGTTTTTATTGTCCTCAAAGAAATCAATGCGAAAACCCGAAGTGCATTGCACCATAAGCGAAATAATCCAATCTTGTTGCACGCAATGTGCATATCTGCTGTTCACATTTCCCTTTAGGTATCAATAACCAATATGATCAATGAATTCCTTAGTCGATACTGCGGGAAAGTATCAGTTTACGAAATAATTTGCCGAAGTCTGGTATTTTCTATAATCCTATTGCTGAAAGGAAACAACATTTTATGCGCGCCTACAAGTAAATAGAGCAGGTATTAGTTCACAAGCGCTATCTGCATAGGTAAATATTAGCAAGTCTAATCAAGTTGAAATTCATTTAAATCATGTTAAATGGCTGATTGTTCTCGCAAGATGTTTAGCGATGAAAGGCTCCCACTGTTCTCCAAAAATGGATACACTTCGGACGAGAGTATTGTAAGAACAAAGCAGTTTTCTTGACGGTTTTAATTTAACTTTAACGGGGAAAATTCAGAGTGGAAACACCTCAAATGATGTAGTGGTTCCGGTGTATGGCACAACTTGCGAGCCAGCTGTTTCCAACGCAAAATTAGTGCCAGTAGAAGAACGGATAACATACACGTGGAGTGGCATCAATGTCTTCACCAATGTGGGCATGGTTAGTAACGAGTCCAATTTTTTCCCTTGTTGGAACACCAATCTGGATCAAGGCGTACAAGGGAAGCATTTGCTGAAGAATGGTAAGCGTTTAGGTCGCATAGTTTTCAAGGTATTAGCAGGAAAGCAATAGAGGAAAGCAGCATTAGAGAAAAGTGTGAAGCAGGGCTTAGATTAAGAGATTCAGAGGTCCGAAATTTCTAGCCTCAGTTTGGATGTTTTCAAACAAAAAAAATTGGCTCGGCTTTCATCAATCAGCACTCAGAGTTTAAAAATGTGATAAAATTCCGAAAAAACAACTGTCCAATGAATTCGGTATATTGACCTACTCAAAGCAGATTTTAATGCAAACTGATGAAAAAAGTGTCCACACTATCTTATTGCATTTTTTGCATCAGTACTCTTCGCCCTAGTTGGTTGTTCTTATTTTCCAGTGAGCGGCATGGCTTATCCGGGCGAATTACTGGCAATTTTAGGCTCAAGTGGAGCGGGAAAAACAACTTTACTTAACGCCTTAACTTTTCGTTCGGCAAAAAACATCACTGTAACCGGAACACGATGTGTTAACGGAACCACCGTTAATTCCAAAGCGCTGACAAGCTTATCTGCTTATGTGCAACAAGACGAATTGTTCATCGGGAGTTTAACCGTTAAAGAACATCTGAGGTTTCAGGTAGCTAAATGTTAAGACACTTGAAAAGCTGCTGTTAAGGACTTTGCGCTTTAGGCCCTCGTCAGGATGGATGCGAATATTTCCTATGAGGAAAGAATGCAGCGCGTCAATGAGGTCATTCTTGAGGTACTGTAAAGGACTGTTTAGCACGCCAATCCACGCTTTAGAATAAGCGTTTTTTAGATGACTTTAAACAAGTGCGAAAACACTTGCATCGGAATTTCAGGCCGGCTGAAGGGCATCTCGGGGGGCGAACTGAAGCGACTTTCCTTTGCAGCCGAAGTTCTAACGAATCCTTCGCTGATGTTTTGCGATGAACCAACATCAGGTGCGAAATATTCAAATTTTCCATCGTCCACGCCATTGATGGCGATTTCTCCTTTGCCTTCCAGGCCTTGATTCCTTCATGGCCTTAAACGTCGTGCAGACATTGAAATCTATGGCCCAAAGTGGGAAAACGGTGATTTGCACCATCCATCAACCCTCTTCCGAACTGTACACCATGTTTGATAAGTTGCTGTTGATGGCCGAAGGCCGCATTGCTTTCTTGGGCACTCCTGAGGATGCTGATTTGTTTTTCAGAGAGTAAGTAAAAATGATCAAATAATGGGAACTTGGCTAGAAATCGGACTAAGACTTTGTTCTTTGAGTTGGAGACGGAAAGAAGGAGCAAAACATGTTGTTGATATGACTGAAACTTTCAGCACATTTAGACTCAAGGGTTTTCCTAAGATTGCGGATGTTAAAATGCTTCTTTCTTTTTTTCTTTAGTTTCAAAGATGCGAATTTTTAAAAGGGAGAGCGCGGTGAGCAGAGTCGCAAAGTTCAAACTCGCCATTTAATTAGATGGAAAATCAAAGGACTGGGGGGATTTTAATTAAACTCGCAGTACCTTTAGAGTAAAATGTTGTTCTCAGATTGTGAATATTTCAAAACAAGCCTTCGATTAGTTTGGAAGGTGCGCATTTTTAATAAATAGAACGCAGTTTATAAAAAACATTAAATTTGAGACCGACATTTAATTATCTGGGAAATCGCAGGACTAAAAGGGCTTTTAGTGAGACTTTCGCCACCTTTAGAGCCAAGTATCTTCTTAAGATCATAGAGGTTTTAAACCCCCCCTTGCCTTATGTTCGAGGATGCGAATTTTTAAAGTGAGAGTGCAGTTCAACAGGTTCATAAATTTTTAGGCCGAAATTTAATAAGCTGGAAAATCTCAAGTTTTCTGGTGATTTTTATGAAACTTTCAGCATCTTTAGAGCCAAATATCTGCTTAAGATTCCAAAAATTTTAAAATGCTTCCTGCGTTATTAACGAAGATACGAATTTTTAAAGGCGAGTGCGCAGTTCGGAAGAAGCAATAAAGTTGACACCGGTATTTAATAAGCTGAAAAATCTTCGAATTCAAGGAGACTTTTATGAAACTTTAGTCATCGTAAGATTCAGATATTTTCTTAAGACAATCTTGATTTCAAAGTCCTTGTTTTGTTAGTTTGGAAGCTACGACCGTTTTGGAGATGATAATACCGTTCAGCAGATACTTTAATTTTGACACCTATATTTAATATACCGACAAATTGTAGAAAGCTAGCTGGTTTTTATGCAACTTTTAGGATCTTTAGAGTAAGAACTCATCTGAACATGGAGAAAATTTCAAGGCGCTACCTGCAATATTTTGCCTGATGCGAATTTTTTAAACCAGAAAGCGCCTTTGAGCAAAGTCTCCCATTTTGAAACAGAGATTCACGAAGCTGGCAAAAATCAAAATTCTTCTAAACGCTGCAAAACTTTGAAATCGCCGGTGGCTTTAGTTTAGAAGATCCGATCCTTCAAGCCAATTAATTTCGTAGGCTCAACTGATTTGCAATGCTAAAAAACGTCTTAAAGCAATGGATGAACATGAATTTCGAGATTGGAAGAGAAAAGGCCACAAGTAATCCGCCCAGATCAACACTCGTCAATATTTTTTATTGGTCTTTATGTTATTTGCTCAAAAATCTGAACGGCTGCAGGTTGCTGACTTGCTCTGAAAACCCGTTTTAAACCTTTCCGCCTGCTTCCAGATTAGAAGCGCCTTGTCCAAAAAACTACAATCCTGCCGATTATTTCATCCAGCTGCTGGCCATCGTGCCGGGCAATGAAGAATCCTGCAGGAATGCCGTCAATATGATTTGCGACAGATTTCAGCGCTCTGAGGCGGGAGTTCAGGTTGCTCTGGAATCTGCAACTGCCGTAAGCAAAAGGGCGGCGATTTTCTCTTTGGGAAACTTTGATGCAACGTTTTACAGTCGGGCGAGTTTCTCAGGCATAACGGAACGGAAGTGTGGCTGAATGGAAATAATGGAAACAAGAGCCCGTATAAGGCTTCTTGGTGTGCTCAGTTTAGAGCTGTGGTTTGGCGCTCTTGGTTGAGCATAATTAAAGAGCCTCTCCTGGTTAGAGTGCGTCTGTTCCAGACTATTGTAAGTCGGTACCTTTTTACATTTTTTCACCAAGTCTCTGACTGCAAATTGAGAGAGAAGAGAAGTTCGAATGAATATGAAAGTAGGCCTGTGCGCTTTCAGATTAATTCGAGCTGGTTTTTATTAACTTTTAGTTGGTCTCTTTGGTATTAGGTGCGATTTATTACGGTCAGGTCATTAACCAAGACGGCGTTATGAATATAAATGGGGCCATTTTCTTGTTTCTGACTAATATGACATTTCAAAACGTGTTTGCGGTCATCAATGTAAGTAAAAATTGTATTTACTATGGCATCATTGCGCCCCCACCGGTCTTTTTCAGGTGTTTTCAGCCGAATTGCCGATTTTCCTGCGCGAGCACAAAAACGGCATGTATAGGACCGATGTGTACTTTCTGGGAAAAACCATAGCCGATATTCCGATTTTTATTTTTCTGCCCATCTTATTTACAGCAATTTGTTACTACATGATTGGCCTGAACAGTCAAATGCCCCGGTTTTTTGTCGCATGCGGTATAGTTATTTTGGTCGCTAACGCAGCAACGAGTTTTGGTAAGTGCAAGAAACCACTGGTGCAAGTAGTCGGTGGCCAAATTTTAAAGAAGTTCGCCCAATCACAACACGAAATTAAGCGCGTTTCTATGGAAGCCGCCACTCCAGACCGGGTGGGACAAGTTGATTTGCACCAGCGAACAAACTCATTAAACCTTTTTTTTGGGACAATAAGACCTCTTTTTTTAGGCTACCTGATTTCGTGCATTTCCCCAACAGTGGCAATGGCTCTGTCCATTGGCCCGCCTTTATTAATCCCTTTTCTGTTGTTTGGAGGGTTTCTGTTGAACATCAAGCAAGTATTGCTCTTAGTCAGTCCTAAGTGAATTATAGCTAATTCCTCCTTAGGTCTATTCCTATCTACTTCCAATGGTTAGCCTACTTGTCGTGGTTTAAATACGGGAATGAAGCCCTAATGGTAAACCAATGGGACAATATTTCCAGTATTCAGTGCCCAGCAGGAAATTCTTCCTGCCCTAAAGATGGCCATGTGGTTTTGGAAGTCTACAGTTTTGCTTCGGTAGGCGGAGATTTATTTTCGGTGGTAAAATGGTAGGGTTTCAACATTTTTTATTTTTTCTTAGGAGAACTTAGCGCTAGACATCTGTTCTTTGTTTGGGCTGATTATTCTGTTCAGAGTGTTGGCCTTTTGTGCGCTGCTGTGGAAAACCTACAAAGATACTGAGCCAAACACAGCGTAAATTTAGCATTTTATGGATTGTGCTATTAACAAAATTTAATAAATAAAGATTATATGAAGGTTGAACGTGTGTTTTTTTCCATGCTGAGTCTTTCCAGTGCAGTGTCTATTTTGGGTTAAATGAACAACGAATTTTTATAATTTTTTGGGTTCGTTCCAATGGTTGGAATATGCTTCAAATACTGTTTGATTTTTTCAAATTCAGGGCCTCGCTTTTTCTATGAAAAACGAAAAATGTCCCTCTACGATGTAGTTTTGTTCTATTTGCTTGAAAATGACGTGTGCCGTTTAAATTTTAGGTACCCACAGATAAGATTATGCAATGTTATCATGTTAAACAAAAGACCAAAATCTGCATTAAAAAATTCAAAATCAGTGGCGTAGCTCAGGTAAATTATAAGACAGCCATTTCTCAGTTTTGGTTCGGACTTTGACTTTAAATCCGAAAATTTCTAGTAAGAGTTGAATTTCCGAATTGAAACTCGAAATTGATGAAGAATAGATGCCCAAAAATCTAGATTTCTGAGTAAGCAGATGTTGAATCTGAGGCAAAAAATGTGTTGAATTAAAACACTTTCATGGAGCTGAAAGTATGAATTTTGAAGATGAACTGTATTTCTCCTTATCTTTTTTCTTTAACGTAACGCAACCTTCTTCAACATATTCAGTTTGTATTGACAGCTGGCAAATAATTGGAAAATATATTTTTTATAATTTTCTCTAACACAAATTGAGAGATGAAGAAAAACTAATTAAAATTAGTTGATTTTTAATACTCTATATCGTGAGAACCAAAAAAATTGGTCCAATCTTCTCAATCAAAATCGCAACTGTGTTTGTACCAAATAGTCAATAAAACGGATTATTTAAACAAAAGAGCTGAAAAAAGTACGCAATTTCCAAATATTACACATTGCTGATGCATAAAAAGCACACAGATAAAAACGGTTATGAGGAAAAACGTACAAGAGAAATGGTGCGGTGTTCTGTATTTCTTGGAAAAATTGAGACTGAAACAAGAAATTGAGACCAAAACTTGAATTTACTGGTTCAAGCTACTCAAATATATTTATGGAAACGTTGAAAGCTAGAAATATTTCGAACGGTTTGAAAATGTAAAGCATGTTTTCTCAACTGCCTCTAAACACTGTAAATAGTTTTATTTTGTTGGTTTCGTTTCCGTTCGAGGCAAGCGTTAGTTCTTCTCCTCAATTCCGCCTACATTCGTACAGAAAAACTGATTTTTTTGTAGAAAATAAAGACAAATTCAACGATAATTTAAATATAAAAGCTGGAAACATACATGTTCACTTTTAAATATAAAAATATTGTAAACGTGCGTACCAACAAAACAACTAATTAAAAAAATATATGTACTTAGTCTAAGTAAAGTTGTTTTTTCCTAAACGTCCAACGTAATTCTAAATCCTCGAGATTCGCATTGCAATAAATAAATAAACAAATCCAAACCACACAAGTAAAGTCAACCAGTTGAATAATTAACCGACTTAATAATAATCTGAGCCACAATCGTGCTCTGCGCGCTCTTTAAAACACCCGCGCGACACGCCGCTACCCCCTTGTCTTACTAAACAAACCCGCGATTCAAGTGGATATTGCGCTGCATATAGTCCAGCCCCCAAAACGTGTTATTGAGCAGATTTTAGTGTCCGTTGTTTGTTGCCATGAAATTTTTGCGCTACTTTCTTGTGCATTGAAGGGAGGGTTCAACTGAAAACCAGTAATAATAGAGCGTGTATGAGAAATTGGCATTGAATTCGAAGAAAAACTTCCTCAGTAAAGAAAAATCGATCCTGAAACAAACAAAAAACCGTGAACTTAATTAAATTTGCACGCCCTGCAAATCGAGAAGAAACACCTGCAATTCAATACAGCGAATAAAAAACTAATATATTGGCAATATATCATAGGAAATAACCTGCAGGTATCCATTTCGCTACGTCCCTGGTGATAAACACGAACAAATATCACTTTACATCGAGGTATTTGCATGCAACTTGGAAACGTATAATACCCGTGTTAATTTAATAATCAGAGCTGCGAAAGGCTTCTTCGCTTCATGTTAACAATTTTCAGGCAATCAGTGACGATGTGGAAAAACGGTCTTTTTTGCTAAATTTCGCTTGTGCAACCAGAAGCGCAAATGTTCAAACCGCGCAACTTTGGCCCTAGTGAAAACACTCCGCTTTTGCGTTTGCAGCCTAGCAATGGTGGATCTTCGACAAACAACTACGAAAACCCGGTAAGCTTTTTTTTGGAGGTTTGGAGAAATAAATAAAAAAAATCCAGAGCGACTGTGAGCCATTGGATGCCAGCCAGTCTTTGACGAAGAAAACCAGAAGTTACTCCAAATGGTCGCCGATGGAAGAAGGAGTGACTCTGGCCTGGAGCGACCTCACAGTGCACGCCCGCACCAAAATCAAAGGAAAGCTCATCTACAAGAGAATAATAAACAGCGGTAAATCCCCCAGCCACTAAACACTTCCTCAGGTTTGTTTAAACGACTTTTTTTTAGTAACTGGAGCTTTAAAGTCGGGAAGTTTAGCAGCCATAATGGGCGCCAGGTAGTGTACTAACTAAAAATATTCTTCGGGCCCAAATTTTGGTATTGATTTCAGTGGTGCTGGAAAAAGTACGCTGATGGCAGCGCTAGGATATAGGCAAACAGGTCAGTTTTTCCCGGAATTTCAGTCCCGTTTTATTGGGCGTTTTTAGGGGAAATGCAGGTCGATGGCGACATAGTGATAAATGGACGGCCCATAGGCAGCTACATGAAACACCTGAGCGGATATATGCCACAAGAGGACCTATTTGTTGGTTCTTTAACTGTCCTGGAACACATGAACATCATGGTTAGACCGGATGGAAAAAGGTTCTATTCATGGTCAATGTTGATGTTTCCAGGCCCATTTGAAACTGGATCGCCTCATCAGCAGCCAGGAGAAAAGCTTGAAAATCAAAACCATCCTGAACCAGTTGGGGCTACGAAGGTGCGCAAATACCTGCATAGGAGCGAGAGGACATAAAGGACTTTCAGGCGGAGAGAAAAAGAGACTGGCTTTTGCCACAGAGGTACACTGAACTCCTCATTGTGGTTAAAATACTACTGCTTCTAATTCATCAGCTTCTGAACGATCCTCCAATTCTCTTCTGCGACGAACCAACCACTGGCCTCGACTCATATTCCGCTCAGAAAATCGTGAGCATAATGAGTCGAATGTCCACCAATGGCAAAACGATCCTCTGCACCATCCATCAGCCTTCTTCGGCAATTTTCGGGATGTTTACTCAGCTCATTCTGGTTGCTGATGGCCGCATTGCTTATATGGGAAGGCGAGCGACTGCGATCGAGTTTTTCGAGGAGTGAGTGAAACTTCAAGGTTCAGGTGGCGAGTGAAAGATGTGGGTTTCAGCTTGGGGTATGTTTGCCCGTCCTCCTACAGTCCTGCGGACTTTTTCATCAAAACCCTGTCGACTACAGTGGGTCATGAGAACAACAGCAGGATGACTGTGAAGAAGATTTGCGACCATTATACTGTGAGCGATTATGCGAAGGAAGTCGATGTGGTGGTGCAGTATGAGTTTCACATGGGAAGAGCCGAGGTACTTATTTAGTTTTCGGAATGTCCAGATGTTTTTTAAACTCTCTTTGTTCCAGCAGCCGAGAGCGTTTGAGATGCGCCAGAACTTGTAGGTATTTTCACGCATTGTTTGCGCTTTTTAGTTGGGAAATATAATTGATTACAGCAAATCGCCTTTTTGGCTCCACACACTCTACTGGCTGACGTACAGGGCGTTTAAAGACTCCATTCGTAACCCTTCGGTGCAAACGTTGAGGATTTTGCAAAGAATGGCAAGTAAGTGGAAACATGTTTGTTGCTTTGAGATGAGGTTTGGCGTTTCAGGGCATTGCGCTGATCGTGGGATTGTCCTTCTACTCGACGAATTTTTTCACTCAAAAAGGCATCCAGGCGGTGCAAGGCGCGATTTTTATGTTTGTGTGCGAAAACACTTTCAATCCGATGTATTCGGTGCTGGCAGAGTTTCCGGAAAATATTCCTCTTTTTGTGCGGGAGTTCAGAAGCGGATTGTACCATCCTGCTACTTACTATGTTTCCCGAATTCTCGCGCTGGTAAGTGGTTTTTTTAAGGTTTAAAGGTGGATTTTGCGTCTTTTATTTCAAGATTAAGTCAGATTTAGAAATCTTCTTAGTGAATTGAGCGTTTGAAATTTGAAAAAAAAAAATTTATGTTTCGAAAATTTAGTTTCTAAATGGGTTTGTTCTTAGTAATTACCCCGACTTACGGCTTACGCACGGGCTATATTTTGCAGAAAAGTTGGTCCTTAATCGTGCAGCAAAAATTGTAAAATATCTGCTAATTTCCAATTTTTTCCTTTCGTGTGCAGTGGGATTTTTTGCTGTATTGCGCAACCCTTCTTTAATAAGTGGGGAAAATCAACTATATGGAGTTCAAGTGCGTTTTCAACAATCTGTTTAAGCTCTCGAGGAAAGCTTGATGAAAAAAATGGAAATTTCCATTTTGGGACGGTTAGGGGAAAAAGTAATTAAAAATCTACAAAGAGAAGAAAAATTGATTTTCTTGCAAAAACTTTGAGTGGTAATGACAGAGATTTGCATATGTTTCCGTAAAAACAGTTTTAAGTTGCAGTTTTCTCAAACTCAAGCGCTTAGAATTTAAATTCTCCCTGATGATGAAAAACTCGAAAAGGAGGACTTTTTCAGAAATATTGCGAATCTTTAGACATTCTTCAACTAAAATTGTTAGAATTTGCGAAAAAAGTGACACCGACAAATCAACATATATGTTTTCTTAGATTTTGATTGCCATTTGTGTCGGGTTTCGTTTAGTTTAGTTTGTATAGCAATTATTATTTGTCTTGATACAAAACCATAAGTTAAATACATTTTCTTTACATTTAATTTAATTTTAAAAAGCTCAAGACTTGCTCAGAAAGTGATTTCTGAGCAATTTTTTAAAACTTTGGTTTGAAAATATCGCCTTCTCTCCGGCTCAATTTTCCATTAAATTCATTCAATTTTTGTGCTTAGGCCAACGAGTTTTATCTGTATCAACAGTGTTCTTATGAGCAAAAGTGAAATAATTTTTTAATTGGTCTGGATCAATTTGTGACATGTAATTGATGATTTCAATTTTTTCTGAATCCAATTTGAGAGTGATATTTTTCACTCTCCATTCTTGAAAATCCTGCCTTAAATTAACATGCTTTTCCAGGCTATTTTCTTCAAGTTTGACTGTGTATTCTTTTAAAGAAACTGCTCGCCTTTTACTTTTCAGTTTTTTGGAAATCCAAACTCAGAGACTTAAACATTTTTCACACCATACGAGGCAGTTTTCTCTTGAATGATCACAGAAAAATTACACGCAGTCAGATTTGATAAAAAATAGAAACTTTTAATAGAATAGATAAATCGCCGATTTCTACAAAGAAAAATTAAACATCAATCATCAGAAAAACAAAATCTTATTATCTGCTTTGCATATTTCTTTGGATGGTCTATGGAATTCAGTTTGTTCAGTAAAGGTTAAAAAAATAACAAATTGAGTTAGTTTAAGAAAAATTTTGCACAAAATTCAACAAATGTAAGAGTGGCAATTTATCAGTATATAAAATGTATCGATGAGTCTTATCGGAAAAAAATCCGCGCAAAAGTAATATTTTCTTTGAAATGTGGACTTTTTAGTGCAAACAACCAACATTTGCCAAGCGATTATGATTTTGTTTAAAGCGTCATTTAGTGCTCTGTCCAGTAGTTTAGACATTTTTCCTTCAGAAATGCGCAAAAAGGTGGCGTAAAACACGACTTTTTCGCGTAACCTCGCACCTAATCTGGTATTAAAATTTCGCTTTTTGTATGAAAACTGCTAGTATTTTTACACCCATGTTTCCAGCGATGGAAAAATGAGCCCTGTAGCTCAAATGGTTCATTCTTTCTTGGAATTTAGACTTATTTGAAAAAACTGACAACAGTTTTTACGCTCAACGACCTAAGAGAATTTTAATAGACTGCACAAAAAAAAACAATATTTTTAAATCAATAGTCATGCTTTAATTCTTGTAGTATTTTGTGAAAAATACCCATTTTTCTTGTTTAGAAGGGTAATTTTTCAATCGCTGTTGTTTTGTGTTGGTTCTGCTGATCTTTTTGCCTGCATGCGGTTTCAAATTTGTTTGAAAATAGACAAATTCTTCAATTGATAGTGGTTTAAGGTGCGTACACAAGTGTTTGAAAATTTGTTTTAGATATTTCAAATCACAGACAATAAAATTTAACCAAAGTTTAAAAGCATACAATTTTATGACATTTTAGTTTCGAGCGCATTATAATCAGTCAGATCATTAAGCAAGGGTTAATTTATTAATTAATAATCAAAGTGTGCAAAAACACCAGTAAACGCCTCACCAAAAGTGAATTTTCAACGAATGATTCCAGTGATTGATTTGGAGTTTTGACTTAATTAATGATTAGATGGTGATGATAATTTTTAATTTTTTGTGGCTATTAACATTTTTTGTTATTGTTAAAGCAATATTTGCAAAACAGTCAACCTGTAAATTACTCAAGAAAAGACAAAATTTTTTCCAACAAATTTTTCTTCAGTTGCTTGCAAAAATACCTATTTTTCAAAGTTTCATTTTTTCCAGCTTCCTGGATTCTTAATTGAGCCACTCCTCTTTGCCTCGATCGCCTATTGGATAGCCGGACTGCGCTCCACCTCCTATGCCTTCCTCATGACGACCCTGATCACGGTTTTGACGACAAATGTATCTTGTGCTTGTGGTAACTCTTGGACTCAAAATCCCAGCGCAAAATTCGGCATTTTTCCCCAATTTCAGGCATAATGTTCTCCTGCGCTTTTGAGTCAGTGCCAATTGCCATGGCCTATCTGGTTCCTTTCGACTATCTCCTGATGGTAACGTCCGGATTATTCGTGAAAAGGGGGTAAGTTTGCGAAATTTCCATCACTTGATTGATGAACTACAGGTTCTTGCTAGGACTATTCCAGTTATCATCGGCTGGTCCAGGTACCTGTCCTGGATGATGTACTCGACTGAGTCCATCAGCATTATCCAGTGGCAGAGCATCAGGAACATCAGTGAGTAGAAATACTGTCCAAAAAATATTTTTCTTGGATTAAATAAGCCGTTTTCAGGCTGCGATATCCAGGACGATGATAGTTTGCCCTGTTTGAGTGACGGGACATCGGTCCTGGATCAATATGCCTTTTCCGAAGACAATCTCGCCTGTGACATATGGAACATGTTTTTTCTGCTAATCGGCTTCCATTTGCTTGGCTACGTGTTTCTTTGGTGGAAAACGAAAAGAGCGTAAAAATCGCAGCCGCTTAGCGATTAGAGGCAACTCGTTTTGTTATTACCCAAGAAGTATCGGCGATATTACAATGATTACTGGCCAATTCCTTTGGAGTCAATAAACGTCCGGAAAGTTTTGCTATAAAGCCGGGGGTTTGACCCCGATAGAAAACAAAGCTGTTTTTCCTAGAGGACATAAAAAATTGCCAGGGATAACGGAACGAAAGCAGTAGTTTCGGCGGGAGCAGATCGATCCTGTTTGGAAGCAATTTCGCCGATTTTATTGGTCCTAACTGGGAGTTTGGAGTCTGGATGGGGGCGGCCAATCAACAATTGTTAATTCGTAGAAATCCCTCTTTGCTTGAATAAAATTCATTTTACAACAGTACCTTTGTTGCGAACAAAAGACGCAAAAAACTCGCCCCATATATCCTTTCAGTGCCTTATTTGATATCGACAGTGACTAAAATAGCCGCACAAAAGCGATTTGGTACGCATTGTTCTTGATATTGTTGACAATTCCTTATTCCTTGAGCTCGAATTCGACCACGACTTCTCATTTCGGTAAGTTTCGTCCAAATAACTTGATTGCGTGTTAAGAAAACTTGTCCTCTTTGTGTTCGCTAATTACGATTGTTGCTACAGGACATTGTTTCGGAAGTTTCCGGGTAAGTTCATATCCTCATTTGGATATTGATGGCAAGCGCAAGTGTTGTCTAGTTCGACATAGCCCTGAACGTATTGGCATAATAACGATTTCCGGGAATTAACCATCCTTGAATGGATACAATAAATAATGGATATACTCCTGTTGGATACAGGGTGTTGGTGAGTCATTAGAACCGAATTTCCCATTTTCTTTATGAAAAATTCGATATTTTTCCAACCTGGTGTTGCAGGGATTCCAAACTTATTTCTGAATTAAACGTGTTTGTACAGGGTGCTTTCATGAACCGGGGTTTGATTAGTGAATTTGAAAATTTGCGCTCATTTTTCCAGGACTTTTACCAAAAAGTTGTTGTTATTGTTGCAAATTGAGCTCGCAAGCGATGATGTTTGAAACGATTGAGTCCTACTCTATACGACTGAATCGTTTCCCTTCCAAATCAGTTTAAAATGAGTAAAATCGAAAAAGTCGTTTTGAAATTACAGCGATTAAAACACCCTGTGTATAAGTATTGGCCTCCGATGTTGATAAACTAACGTAACTGAGCAATGCACATTTTCTCTACCTTGAAATAGAGAGATTTTATTGCTCTTTTGCAATTTCTATAATGCGGTGTTTTGCTTTCCTTTTCTGGTCACGCTGTTGGCAATTTACATTTTTCAATCGCTGTTATTTTGTGTTTTTTGCTGATCTTTTTGCCTGCAAGCGGTTTTAAACTTGTTTGAAAATAGACGAATTTTTCTAGTGGTAGTTGATTCAGCTGCATAGAAGTTTGAAAATCCAGTACTAACAATAGTGCGAGCTTTTTCTAAGTGCAAGATTTTCTTAAGTTGACTTAAGTTTTAAAGCATAAAATTTTATACTTTAGCTTAAGTAGAGGAAATTTCCAACGGATGATTTAAGTTGTTGATATCTGGAATTTTAACTTAATTGATAATTAGTGGTGATGAATGTTTTCATTTTTTAAGTGGCGATTAACAATTTGTATCATCGTTTAGCAAATATTTTCAATCCAACAGTAAACCTCTAAATTTTTCAAAGTAATCGTATTCTGGCTCTTTAGAGGCAAGTTTGAGAAGAGTTAATTTAGGATGCAAATTTGGAGTCATTTGATGCAAAATTATGGTGACAATTCAAGGAACTCGTATTTATTTACTCAACTTTTGGAGCTTCTTTGTAGGAAGCACAAGGGTTAGATTCACTTAAAAAAAATACGCTTATAAAATCTGTACTTAATTTTCTATTGTCGCGTACATCCGGAGTTTTATGTTTGTTGTAAATGAAAGAATATTAAATTGTACAGCATTAAAACATCTTCATTCATATCAGGACTGGTCATGTATTTAAAATACTTTTTGCTTCCTTGCCTCTTTTATAGATTTACGTATGAAACAGTAGATTGGTGAAGCAAGGGAGAATCTACAAAATCTGCAAAATTTTACATTAATTCAAACTTTAAACCTATTGAGGTATAATTTTAAAGAGTTTTTAAAATGATCTAAAATATCAACGTTCGCAATATGGTAATAATTAGGGCTATAAATGACGCCAACAAATTGAAACTAAATTTTTCAAGATTTTTTTAAAGTAGGTACTTTTTTATCGGTGATTGGAACGATTTTCTGTCGCTGTTTTGATGAAACATCAAAGGAATTTGCCGGAATTATTTGAAATATTAAAAAAATTCACATGTGATGCATCTAAACAAATTGAACCCATCAATTATTATATAAAATAGTAAATAAATTGTTTTTGGATAATTTTAAAGACGCTTAAAATAATTTTTGATGTGAGGATTTTCAGATGTGCATTAATACGGTTTTTATTTTTTTACTCGCAAACGATGCCTTGTACCAAGAAAACTCAAGAGGGCTTTTTTGTTGGCAATTGAACAGACAATAAAAGGGTAAAATTGGGTTGTTATTAAATCAGTGGCACAGTATTTTGTCCTTGAAAAACCTTGACGGATAAGTCATAACGCGCGCCACTGGCAAATTAAAAAATGGCTACTCGATAGCTATTTCTAGGAGTTTCGGAAATACTGATCAATTTTCAACACGTTTTTGTAACGATGCCTTCTTAAAATCATCGTTTTCATCTTAAAATCAAGCAATCACCTTCTAAAGTGTGTCAGAGTAATTTTGAATCACCCACGAGAGGTTTAGAGCCTTTGAAGCAAAATATGCATGTAAAAAATGTAATCTTTTATCTAAACTAAATTGATTTCTCTCGAAAACAATTGCTGGAAAATTTTGACGTTATTGACTAAGAATTATGAAGACTTTGGCTTTCGCGTTGAAACTGGCCAGTTTTCGGGGTTTTAGGCCGTTGTGGAAAAGTCAGAAAGCAATTTTTGTCCATCATCCATCAGTTTTTTCTGCTAAGATTTGTCACGAAACGTCATCAGGCGATTGCATTTTGGAGTGAGAAATCAGGTGACGCTAATGAAAAACTAAACGAAATCTTTCGAAGAATCTAATCGAGTTTTTGTGGCTTTCAAATCGTGGTAGAAACGAATTTCTTCCTGAAGAAGTTTCAATATCTAATAATTAAGTTGGCGCCCCATATTTATACGAAGCTTTTAAGCTCTTTTTGCTGCAAATACGTTTTAGGCAACTGCCAAAAGTTCTCAATCCTTTCTATATCCAGAGCATTAAATTGCGCTTAAAATTCGCACTTTGAAACAATTGAACCGTAAAAAGTCCGGATGATCAAAGTGCCGGTGTAAATCAAATCAATTCCAGGGTTGTTTACATCGGCGCCATTATCGCATGCATATTTCCGTTTGTTATTGGCAATATTTGCATCCAGGCAAGTGTAAACATGCATTTTGCGTTTAAACAATTCGAGGAGAACATTGAGCAACGCGAGTTTTTGCGCTGAATGACTAGGAGATCAGTTTTTTTGGATTTTCGGGCCGAATCGCGTAAACTAAAACTAAACTAGTGCCAGTTTATCCTAGATATTTGTTGATTAATGCCCGTGCTTGTTTCGCAACTTCTGCCATGTGCAAATATGCAGCCTGGATAAGTTTCCAGTTTTCATTCATCTAATTGGAAAAACTGTGCAAAATACAGTCGGTTTTTGGCAGCTGACGCTGCGTGCATTTACACCGCTCTTTGTCGCTCCGGTTGGGGCACCTTGCAAGTACTGGTAGAGGAACCGGAAGTTCTCCAGCGATTTTAACGGGGTTTTTATAGCAAATTTAATGAACAAACCAACAAACAATGCGGTTCAAGGCTTAAAATTCGCGATAACCGAGTTCGAGTATAACGTGGAATTTGTGCCATGCGTCTGTGCCGGATTCAACGCGTGCGCGAGTGCAATTCAGTCGGGATTGTCATGGAGCTCGTTTGACAGCACTTAAGGTGTTTGTGTATAAAAATATCGGATTTTTCCGGGCTTTACCACAACATATACATCGAATTGCCGGATTCGCCTGTGCCAGTGCGGTGCCGCAACACCCTGTAGACTGTATCAGTTAAACATGCACGGCATGACAAGGAAACCTACACATTTCTTCCCCTGAATGAATTTTTGCACCCTTTGCCAGAAAAGTAAGTACTTAAGTGAACTTACTAACTCACCAAGCAGGTGGCCGCAGGCCACAACTGAGCCCCAAAAATTTTTGAAATTCTCCACCAGTTTTCAAGGCGTTTTGCGGATAGTTCTAACCTTCACGTCCGGCCCCTTCAGGTTAAAAGGGAATTTCGCCCCAAAACTAATGGTTTTCGCCAATTTATTAGCAATCCAATTCAACCGGCTACAAGCAATCAAGCAATCAATAATTCCCGTTTTCTCCAGCTCAATTCAATGCTCACCTACATATTTAAAAGCAGGCCCCCTTCTTGAACTGAATGTGAAAGTCAAGGGTAGGTAAAGTTGCCGGTCGCGTTTTTAGGGGCAGGTTTTTCGGAATGTGGGGCAAGCGATATAGTTCAATGTGACGTGTCATTAAAATCATTACTTCCTATCGGATTGGTGGAAAAAGTCGCATTTTGCACACCAAAATTACTGTCTTGGTCGCTGAGCGGGTGCGTGCCAGCCCCAGCTTGTTTCGTGTGATATAGCGGCAATTTCAGCAAATGCGAACTATGCGAGAAAAAACTGCTTAATTCCTTTGCATGCATTTCGTTAACAAGGCCAATTGAAATCAGCGCAAAACCTACATAAATCACCCACAAACATGTTCAATATCAATAGTTGTTCATAAGGGGCTTTCAGCAGCCGATAACAATTTATCAGAGATTAGATTCGAGTGTTCTAATTTGGTGCGGTCTGAGCTGCTTGCTTCATTTTTACATGGCGACCCAAAAACTGCAATCGTTTAACCAGGATCTGCTCCAGATTGAAGACAGTCCAGATCTTCCATTCTTCATTCCAATGCATCTCTAGCCACTTTACTAGCTTCTTGACAAATGGCGAATAGCAAAAATGCTTAAAATTGCATCCCCGAACTGCAATATTCACTGTTTTTAGAGATTGATTCAAGTTTTTTGCAGCATTGTTATGTAGGCATGCATGATATAAATATAAATCATATATTTTAAAAGCAACTTTTGACTGCTTATCTGTTTAATAAAAAKAYTTCGGATACAWTTTTAATTGAAATAGGCGCGAATCAATAAGCGACTTTAATTACAAAATTTTCACAAACTCCAATTAAGAATCCCGGTTTAATAATTAAGAATAAATCTCATTTTTGMACTGGCCATTTTGAAGGCCAATAATTCCAGAAGGAAGCCAGATCGGGAAAAAATACTAGATTTAYTTTCTGGCCCATCAGTTWGGGAACACCCTGTATATGTTAGCACTTTTTGTGTGTGCGTGTGTTCTGTTCAAGGTACTGGTTGGATGGTTGCTTCGCCTCGTGTCATAATCGATCAGTTTTTGGTCGAAATCCGCCCAGGCTTTGGCCCCCCAMATGAGCCTCCAAAAAYTTACCGTTTGTTTTAGATTCGATTTAAAAGAATGAMCATTGAGCTTCTTTTTTAGATAAAAAAATATAGCTGACTATATATATAKGRTAAAAAAATATRGCGGCYCATTYGAGGCCAGGCCCCAATGTTGAAAAACGTCAMAACTCCCRASCGGTTGAAAATATCGGATGAGTCGCACAGACTTTTTCGGTCGCCYACAGCGAGAGCRATCTTTTAGGTTAAGTTTTAACCTAACCAATTAGGACTAGMCCAATTAGGTTTTATCACAAATTCCTAACCTCTAAAGAGATAGAAGCAAAAATAAKSAAACGTAAAATTTAAATCGCCTCATATCTRAAAAATACCAATTGATYYCTAGGAGCGTCATGGAWTGAGCCTTTTGMTCCCCAATTTTTCCGAGTGTCAAGSGAAACTACTAACCTCCAAAGTGATAACCCCAAATTTTCATTAGTTCGTAAACATTTTCACGTATATCTCASAAACGGTTCAAAACATCAAAAAAGTCAATAGAAGCTTTTCGAYCGAACAGCTCAAATACTGTCTTTTTCTACTTAGGCTTCTTCACACATTCCTTACTGTTTCAGAGTTAGAAGCAAAAATGTGAACATTTCAGGGTGTGTCAAAGTTTAGGAGGACRTAACTCAGAAATGGTTCAAAATAYTTGATTGGTCGTCGATAGATATTAGATTTCACTAGAAATTCCTAACCTCYAAAAATGCAATAAATATCGAAACATTTTAAAACAGCCCATACTTATTTGCAAAACGGTCCAAGATATCCGATTAGTTRTCAGGACATTTTTGATCGTCCRCCTTAAAAGCTGTTTTTCACTCACTTTCACGGTTTTATCAGAMATTCTTAACCTCCAAAGAGATAGAAGCCAAAATAAGCAWACCCTGCAATTTAAATCCGCTTGAWATCCYCGCAWCGGTTGAACAATGTCGATTTTACAAATGTGACATTTTTTGTATTCGTATTTAAGTCATAATGCAGATTGGTGTTTTAATGTAGCTTCAGCTTCCTTAATAAACTTAACAATTGCGTYAGTTTYGCAATAAAAAARCGTACGAAACTAATACTTTTGTTGAACTTTARATWTTTTTCGTRAAAATTGCAAAAATTTGCTCAGTGAAGCTCAACCTCTTCGTGAGAATTAACGGATCGGGCACCTAAATKYCTGACATTMAAATTTCGCTTTTTATGTTAAAACTGCCCGCAATTTCCTTCACTCTCAAGTCAAGTTCGACTTACTGAATCAGGCTTCTAACTYTCTTTCCAATGATAGTAAAAGTTCCACTGTAACTCAAAAGGTTCTTGAGAAACGACGAAAAACGCGGCGCCGTGTTTGTGTCATTTTACCAATAAAAAAACTAATATTTTTCTGGAAATTTGGACTATTCCTGCATATAATTAAGTATATAAATTATACATAGAAACAGCCCTCTGAAACAGTAATTCTCCAGTAAAGAGACTTTCCCAATACTCGAACAAATAATGCCCAATTAAAAAACCCTTTTAGCTAAAAAGTCTTCAACTACGCGATAATTAAAAAATTAATTAGAACCGGGCGTTGAAGCTGACAAGAACCATTTGTCTTAAGTAAGAATGTATATTAACTGACAAAGGTTTTTAATTTGCTTTTGAAGGGAAAACAGAACGATCTATCAAATATTGCCTTGCTCTCTTAGGAAGAAATTAACACCATTTCTGTTGGATGATTTTATTCGGAAGAGGCGTTCTTTGAACACTCTGTAAATTCGCCACTGGAATTAGCTATCGATAAATCTGCATGGGATAAAATCAAGTGGCAAAGCCGACAAACATCCATTGTTTGATGTCGCTATTTCCAACAGAAAAACACCGACAGTAAAAAGATTCATTATTCGCTCTTAATCCCTGTGCATCTTGCATCTGGTTGTAGACAAAAGTGGGCTTTAAACAAAGAAAAAACGCATTTTGTTTAGCAAATTTGTCAAAGCTTCTCGGGTTGTTTGAGATCCATCACGAACGGATAATTTGCTCGTATTCCTCGCAATCCATAGAAGAAATTTTGGGGTTTCTTGGTATTTGTTGCCCCATTTGACATGGTTTGGGTTGTCTGATTTGCCATCCAGTGCGTCTGGACGCGAGTGGATTCTTTCTGATGAGTTCGAAGGGTTTCAGTAGCTTTGGTCCCTTTCGACATCAACTTGCTCTGGAAATCAAGTTTTTTAGGCTTTTGCATTGTTTGGTTTAGAATATCATTTTGGTCAATGGCGCGTTTTAGGGCACATTTTACAAGTTCAATTTTTTCTCACTTTTTAACGGTACGTAATGGGTAATGTTTTACAACTCTTGTGCTTGTTTTGGGTTATAGAAAATGCCATAAAATTGACTCACCTGTTTTAGCAATTTTGCTTTATACTCCCAAATATTCCACATATAATTACGGTCTATATTGCCCTCCTCAAAGTGCGTGTCCGTTTGATTGGCTCTGGAATAGGCTACCGCTTTTGGCTGGACTTTTTTCTCGATGAGCCTGCAAAAATATTCACGAAAATGTCACCTCAAACTAGAGCAAAGTGCTATTGAAACTGGGCAGTTATTTGTGCTGGGGATTGAAATTGAGAAAGATGCAAACCACGCAAAAAGTTCTTGTCCACCGCGGTTGAAAAACCCGCAAACTCACCAGTTTCACGCAATGGCGGCGAAAGCCTATTTTATTAAAGTCCTACTAAGACGTACGTTTTAATGTGCAGTTTTTTCTTCAATCGGTCCTCCAGATCCAGAAATTTGATGAGATGAACCGATTTGCGAGCCAAATCAATCGTATTCATGATGTACCTGAAACACAGCTGAATGTTCCCTAGAAAACTTTCTGTTTTTTGCGCTTACGATTCCGGATTGGCGCAAAAACAGTTGGCAGCCATTTTCGACGAAAACCCATAATATCGGTGCTTATATTCAACGACTCCCAAGGGAATATTGGCCGGGATTAGGGCACCGCCTGTATTTATCAATATCCAACAGCAATAACCATGAAACTAAAAGTGCAAAATTATGTCGTCTAATAGCCAAGAGTGGCAAGGGAGCACGCAAACCTCCAGGTCTTTTTTCGTAATTTTTGAGGTATCCGTGTGGATGCGGATATAAGGACTGATCACTCTGGTGATCAGTTCCTGGCCCTTCCAATCCACTGTCTCCAACAGTTGGTCATTCGGCTGTTTCTGTTCCAAAACTGCATCGATTTTCAAGCTAAATATCAGCTGCGCTTGGATTTTGAAAATGTTCGAAATGCCTCTGAGACGAATGGCATCGTCTTGCAGCTCCTTCCATATCCCGGTCAATTGTGCGAAATGGGGCTGGAATGCCAAGTTATTTCCGCCATTACAGTGGAAGTTTTCCTGGACTTACAAAGACATCGGTAACGGCTTGATATAGCGTTGGGATCACGATCTTATTCAAAGTTTCGATGATCGAATTGAATTGATCGTGCAGAGTCTTTCGGTGCTTTTCCAGCTCGGAAATCGACTCCAGCAGTATCCTGGTGAGGCAAAAAATTTAGCTCAATCATTTGCAGCATTCTTCGGTTGAAAGTACCGGAAAGTTTTGCTCAACTGTCGATGAGTGGCTGCAAGATCTCGTGTGTATTCCCATTGGATTTTTTCAGCTTCATTCTTAAACTCCAAAACGATTCCCCATTCGTCTTTCGTTCGACGCATTACCACCATGTTCCTCTTCACGGCTTCAGTTAGGATTTCAGCTCTATAAACTGCCATTTCGATGCTTTCGGCCACTTCATATTTAACGGCCGTTAGTGCGTGAGCCATTAAATCAGGGACTTAAACAGCAAACGTTTGGAAGTCAACAATCAAAAATCATCTGAGCGCCTGAAACTCACGATCCAGCATTCCTTCGCCGCCCTTTTTGCAGGCTTTATTATAGAGGCGAATGCCCGTGATAAGATCAACCAAACACCCAATCACCTCCTGCTTGATGTAGTTCTGTAGACTTGGGAAAACGTCGATTTCCTCCTCGTCCAGGATGCTTTTCAACACCTGCAAGGCCTCTTTGAACACCTAAAATCGTCAATTATCCTCAATTTGTTTTCGGTCTATTCTGGTTAACATTCGAGCAGCTCTCACAGGCTTTTCGTTCGGATTGCCCAGCCCCGAAGCCATAATAACATAGATGCATATTTTCTTGTAAAGCTGCTCGCCTCTATTCCCATTATCCTGCTCTATAATGTTTAGCAGTAGCGGATAGAGCTTCGAACTGAGTCGCCTCCTGAAATTGAGGGCATGTTTCACATTTGCTGGCAAAATAAACGCGATTTACCGGAAATGGATGACGGTTTCATCCAGCTCCTTGATGTAGCTGCGGAATTCGTGCTGCAGCCTCAAAGTGAGAATTTTTGCGTCGTCTTTCGCCCCCAAGTTGCCCACCAGATACTTGATGAAACTCTGAACTTTTCCGCGATTGGTGAGAAACTCATAACTCAAGCCTCGGTTTGGATCCAGTTGCAACAGGCTGATCTAAACGAGTGGAAAAGGTTGCAATGTGTTTGGGCTTTCAGCTCTTGTCTTTGGCTTACATAGAAGGCGATAAATTCCGCAGATGCTCTTATCTGATGGTTTTTGCATTCCCTCAGAACTTCGCTCACAATGTTTCGAATAATGTTGTCGGTCAGTTCTTTGCCCTCCATTTTTTCAAGAATTTCGGTCGCACTTTTTGGAAAAACCTCAAAAATTACAGATGAATTATTTTACAGACGAGAGGGGATTTCTGAGGAAATTGCCCTTTAAGCAAAAGCCCGCTGTTCAAATAGTGCCGGCTTTATAAAGTTCTAATATTCAAAGCTGAATTTACAATTTCGAAGTGGCTGTTCCATGGAAGCTAAATGTTTTCTATTTAACAATTTCATGAACAATGCATGTTAATAAGGGGGCCGAGTGCGGCCCCCACTGAAATCCATGCTAAACCTTCCCCCAACACATATTTACATATTGACTGATGTTCAGTTGTAGCTACATAAAGTTTGCTTACCCCCAATTTGTCTCCAGATTAATCAGACATGGGCGGTGGGATTTTAGGGGAAACTTGGCAATTTCAATAGAAAAGCCCCGCGATGGAAAGATGAAATTTTGGAATTTCCCTGTATATATATGAGCCCCTTTCAAACCCCTAAATAACTATACGGAGTTTTGGTGTCTCACATTAGGTATAGTTTTACTGACAATGGCAATGACAATAGGATTTTGAGGGTTTGAGGTGGCATGTTCACACAGGTGTACCTTTTTATAAAACATTTTTTTTAAAGAAAAACAAAAAAACCTTCTAACAAAAAAGTTTTGGAATTCGGGGTATTTTAAGGATTTACTCAAAGCTTTTCTTTTCTGAAATTTTCGCTAACTTTAGTAAACTTTTGAGCTTAAAGATGCTGAAAGTTTCACGAAAATCTTCCGGAATTTTCAGTTTCGTATCGGTCTCATAATTCCTTAAAATGTGCACATCCACACTAATACAAGTAGTAATTTCAAGTTTTCACCATCTTTAGAATACGCTTGACTGTAAAGAGGGTGAAAGTTTCATGAAAATCGGCCAAAATCCTGAGTTTTCTCAGCTTAGAAAATATCGGTCTCATAATGGATGATTTACGTAAAACGCAATTTTAAATAAAAAACATTCGAACTGCGTACTTACTGTACATTCGCAAAATTATTGATGCCCTCTTTTTCCGTTTACAAAAATATTTGCAGGTACAAATAATGCATCAGATTCCATTCAAAGGTGATTAAACATTTTTCGATTCTTAGGAGAACATTTATAAGAAAGCCTGTAGTTTTTTCCTTGAAGAGAATTCGACTTTAAAATTACAAAAAAACACGATTTTTTCTGTCATTAAATACTTCGTTTTGAACGTATGTGAATTCTATGACTAATTTTAAACCAAAATTATAATTTTCTGTAGTTATGAATCTCATCTTCAGAAGACATTTGACTGTGAGTAGGCTGAAAGCTTCATAGAACTCGCAAACAATTCTAATGTTTATATTCAACTGCGCTCCCGCCTTCAAATTCACTGAAAATGAATGGAAAAATTCACACCTTTCAAACCAAAGCAAGTAGCAATTTGATTTTTTTTTCATATTAAGAAAACATTTGGCTCTACCGATGTTTAAAGTGTTATACAAATAACCCGGAATCCTGATTTTTGCGAGCTAAATAATTATCGGTCTCAAAATAGATGTTTGTACTCATCTGCGCTCTTTTCTCCAAAAATTCGCATTTTGCAGCTACACGCAGGCAGCAATTCGAAAAATTCCCCTTCCTAAGAACACATTCGGTTCTACAACTGTTCAAAGTTGTATAGAAATTTCCCCGAAATTCTAATTTTTGTCAGCTCGTAAAAATCGGTTTCAAAATCGATGTTTGAACTCAACTGCGCTCTCACCTTTAAAAATTCACACCATCCAAACTAATGCGAGTAGCAATTCTAAGTTTTCACCATGTTTAGACGACGCTTAACTGTAAAGATGGTGAAAGTTTCACGAAAATCGTCCAAAATCCCGAGTTTTTCCAAGTTAGAAAATATCGGACTCATACTGGATGCTTTTACTGAATTGCGCTCTTTCATTTAAAAATTCGTAACTTCCGAACTAATGCAAGAAGAAATTTGAAATTTTCACCACCGGAAGCAGACGTCTTACTGTAAACATCCTGAAGGTTTAATGATAATCGTCTAAAATCCTGAGATTTTCCAGCGTAGAAAACATCGGTCTCATATTGCATGTTTTTTCTTAACTGCGCTCTTTTCTTAAAATTTAGGAAGTTGAAGTTTTTACTACATTTAGAAGACGCTTGACTGTTGAGGCACTGCAAGTTTCACAAAAATCGTCCAAAATCTTTAGTTTTTCCAGCACAGAAAACATCGGCCTCAAATTGGATGTTTTTACATAACTGTGCTCTCTCCTTTAAAAGTCGGCGAATTCCAAACTGATCCAAGTAGAAATTTGCAATTTTCACCATCTTTAGGAAACACTTGACTGTAAATACACGGCAAGTTTTACGAAAATTGTCTACAATCCTGACTCTCCATTTTAAAAAATGTCGGTCTCATAATAGATACTTTTACTTTTACTCGATTGCGCTTTTTTACCTAAAAAATTTGCAAATTCCAAACTAGTTCACGTCCCAACTTTAAATTTTCACTATCGTTAGAAGACTGGTGACTGTAAAGCCGCTGAAATTTTCACAAAAATTGCCCAAAATCCTGAGTGTGTCTCGCCTAGAAAATATCGGACTCAATGGATGCTTTTACTCAACTGCGCCACTTGTTCCCCAGTGTGATTGCTGAGTTTTATAAAAATACTGCCCTGCTCTGTCTCATACAAAGCCGCTTAGTTTCATGTCATTTTCGTAATTTTCTTCTCGTTTACTGATAAATGCATAACCATTCGGCCACCAGGCAGATTGTGCCATTTAGCGTTGAAAAATGGCACCTTGAGATTTGATAACAGAAATTGGCCGAAGCTAATATTAAAACGTTCTTTTTCGGCTGATTGAATTAGTCCTTTGCGCGCTTCGGCTGGCTTTAAAGGGCCTCTAATTCCCGGACTTCCATGGAATAACTAATCTTGACTCGATAATAATCAAGTCACGTGTAATGACCGTGCTAAATCATTTAATGAATGTCCAGTTGAGTTTCCTAAAACCAGCGGCGGGTCATCTGAAGTCTGCAAACCGATTTTTATCTAATTACTAGCAGGCGTATTATTTAGCATTTTTCCATCTATTTGTCCCAAACAATTTCTAACAAAATTCGCCGACAGCAAAGTTGAGCGTGTTTCCTATTCTAAAAGCGGCAACAAACCTGCCCTTGGAGAATATCAAATAATACTGTATGCAAATTTTTAGTAGGTGAATCACAAGTTGCCAGCGCGAATGTCTCTATCAAAGCAGCTTTGCAAATGGAAACTAAGCTCTAAGTACATATTAACTTACTCATTATGTTTCGGGATTCTCGTATCGTGCTGACGATTCCATACCGGAAAATTGATTAAAAGTTATTTTCCAAAAAGGGCTCCGAGTAGAATGGAAGTTATGCCAAGCTGGTGGATGGGGCTCGGTTTTTCCATTTGGAAAAACTCGGATAATTTTTTTTTGCAATGAAACATGGAAAAGTTATTCATTTCACAAGTAATGTTCCCAAGCCACGATATTATATTACATTTTTTTAAATCCAGCTTGTTGAATCGTCTTTATGCTAGATTGGACCTAGTCAAATTTTTGCTTGTATAATAATCAAGATGAAGGCCTCCAGAAGACCTGGACAATAATTTCTTTCGCAAAATTTGGTTAAATTAGGGCTGGATTTTTGGGAAAATTGCCAGCCAACCCTCTCTAATCACTCGAAATCGGAATAATACATGCGAATTGATGTGCTTAATTAATTTATACACGGATGGGATTGAACCGGCATTAGAAACAGCACAAACCGCCACTTGGTTTAATCTTGCTGGATACCCGATTAATCTGATCATTACTAAGAGCTGCTGTGATGACAAGGGTATTGCATTAATTGTTGGTTGAATCCTGCTGTCCATTGCGTCTCTATAATCGCTGATTTGTTGCATAAAACCGAACCGAGTCCTGCTGTGCTTAAAATATTTTAAGTGACATTCCATAATTTTGTTTTATGCAGACACTGTCTTGTTTATTTCTTGCTGCTAACTAACATAAGAGAACACTCAAGCTATTACATAGTGTGAGCGTTTCTGTTTTATTTCCATCACATCTCACGTTTTAATTATGCTTTTAGAAGACGCCTTCTTGCCAGACAGTGTGTTAATGGAAGCTCGGAAAATGCGGATAGTTTTATCATTTATGTTTTCTTCTGTGTTTGTTTTAAGGGCACTCGAAGTACTCGGTTTTCCTGCGATCTATTCAGGGCAACATTTTGACCAACTTTGTCTCGTTTCGGTTTGCAATTTTCTCGCCTGGTCGTTTGTGAGTAGCTGACAACTTGATTGATTATCGATTAATTGAGAAATCGTTTTCTTTATTAACACTCAAGTGGTCTTTAGTGACGGCGGTTCATTGTGTTTGTCTGTATATGAAAGCGTAATTGATTTTGTGTTTTTCAAAGTCAGATCTCTGGGGACTTTTGATACTTGGAGCACCGGAATTATTTACTTGACTGATCGTCAAAGGTTTTCCACAAAAGAAAAATAACTATAGAACAGTTTTTCATTCACTTTTAATATTTTGATTTATTTGTATTTTTTCGCTTCAATGTTAGCGTAACCAAGGGTTTGCAATTATTCCTCCAATTTGTTTCCTAAACTGTGATCTCTTGAAAATAAAAACGTTTATTTTTATTTTCATATAGGTATTACAATAGTAAATCTTAGGTAAAGTTATGCTTATGATTGCTTAAAAAATATTTTTATTTTTATGTTTTCCTGCAAATCCTCCCGGTCCTTTCTTTGCAATCAACTTGATCCAACCACTTAATTTACGTTTGTTTTTCCACACCTACTATTTTCGTATACATCAAGTGTTTAGCATCTTTAGCACCTAAATGAGGCAAACTATGGAAAATATTCTTACACTTAAAATTATATTATTTGGTGTTAGAAGATGAAACATTTTTCTATTTAAGATAATATTCAAAAAACTCCCCAGGAGGGGCATGAAAGAGGAGTTAATCATTTAAAACTAACCGTTTGTGTTAAATGTAGGCCATTTTTAAATTAAATAATGAAATTTTTGTGTGCTTTATGATTCCGTTTAAATATTGCAGGAACTTGTTAACTGCTTTAAGTTTGAAAAATGGGAAAATTGCCTGATGATGGCTTGTTGCCTAAACTTGCAGCGTATATAATCGAAACTTTTTGCGAAATTTGAGTTCAACGAAACGACTGCTTGTGTGGAAAAATTGTTAAAACTATAGATTGAAAAATTGTTAAAAATTGCCTGATGATGGTCTGAAGTGGAAATTTGAGCGAAATATTAGTCATACAATATTTTCTGTATTTTTTTCGAACTAAACACTGTTTAATCTTGGTTAGTTTTCGAGAAATTTTATTTGAAGACAACCATTGCAGAATTTTGCTCTGTTCTAAAATGCATCAAGATTGAAAAATCGTGAAAAATTTCCTGAGGGTGATCTAGAGTTGAAACTTTCGGGGCATATAATATGTCAATTCCTTTATATTGTGCGACAACGGATAACGTTTTTTTCATTTTTTATTTCTGAGAA